TTATTCCGAATATTGCTGACGGTAACGTAGACTTCATTTTTGCGACCAAAACTAAAGACAAACTTTTTTTTTAGTTTACGGATTCCTGACGTCAGTGCTTCAATTTCTGTTTATAGGAATTTTTGGCACATACGCAAATATTGAGATTTTCGATCCGATGATGACATTTCTCCTACAACGCGTTGTCAAGAACACCGATATCCAGAATGACTGCTTGTTAAGGGCAATTTGCCCAGAAGGGCTATTAATTTCGTTTTGCCATTTTGCGTCGATTCACAACAAACGGCAAATCAGTTTTTAAATTGTTACCACCAAATATTAGAGCCCTGTCGAAATATTGTATTAGATTGTATCGAAGCCCTGTATTAGATTTAAAGAAATTAAATAATGAAAAATCTGGATAAATGTATATACGTTTCTCGCATTGTGATAAAACAACGGTACCTACAGCCATCCAGTTTTGAATCATGTACGTATCCACCCGAATGTATATCTGGAATGTATATCGAAATATCTGGAAGCCAAAATTTGGAATTTTTTTATTATATATTTCATATTTTGTAAACTATTTATAAGTTTTTGATTAAGTAACTCAACGATTTCACAGCGAGCAATGGTAACATTGTATGGGGGGGGGGGAATTATCTGCAGCGTGCGAGATTGGTTATTGTCAAATTCTAAGGATATGCTCCTTTGTAGATTTTGTGATATTGCTGTTTAATTGAATTTTATAGTTTAAGTGAGAAGAACATGATGTTTAATAAATAAAGGTAACACACAAAACGCTAAAAGAACGCCCCTTTGGGCGTAATATAAAGTCTGAAAGCTTTCAGAATAAATAAATCTGAAAGCTTTCAGACATTTTTCCTTTAATTATTTTCATTTATATTGCTGAGTAAGTTTTAATCCTTCCTGTCATGACACATCGATATACAAAGTGTTAGATTTCTACTATCGAAATGCTGCTGTGTCTAATGTGAATTTGTTCGCATTAGGAATACGAAAGAAGTTTAAAATCTGGAATTTCATATTATTTATTATTTGCTCAGAAAGCTAAAAAATACAACTGTTTGTGAAAATAGCAATATTTCGCAGTTTCTGATTTTTTATATTTAACAAATAAGCAGTGAATATCTTTGTCATTTAAATTTGTTTACTGAAACGAGTGCACTAAAAGTAAGTTTTGTTGGGAAAATTTCAGACATAAAACATCTTGATAGGAGGGTCATCCTAATCAGTTAGTCTTCAGCACCAGTACTACTCACCATTTTAGATGCTTCGGTCACAAATTTGACACATCGCTCTACAGTTTTGGTTTGACAAGGGAAACTTTAGAAATCCATTTGCAACGAGGTGCCAGTCTTTAATAGATGTTTGATGCCCTCATCCTTAATGTTCCTGGAAGAGGAGACATATTGCAACTACCCCAGGAAATCGTGTTGACAAAGTCTCTTGCTTGGAAGTTGAATTCTGGCGTGACGAAGTTTCGAATAGGTTTTCCTTGATGGAGTTTTTAACATTTAGCGCAGCCTTAGTTCTCGTATACGTCTCCTTTCATCCACAATCAATGCAAGAATCAAATTTTCAGCGTAAGCAAAGAAGGAATGAATTCTTTTGAATTCTGAGTTGATGACTTGCAGCAATTTTTGAATTAGATATCGTCATGTTCTGATGGTAAGAACTGTCATTAGACCGATTTCGATTTCCAACGGAAAAATATGTAATAGTTCAAACTAATCACCGTCAACTGCCTGATTTCATCAGTATGTTTCTCTAAGCTCGCGTAAAGTTTAAGAACTTAGAACTCGATTTGTTGTCTTTTTGAGTCTGAAAGTGGAACATGATTACTAGCGGCGTAGCTAGGGTTTCAGCGGTGACTTTCAACTGAAGAGTTTGCGCCCCTTTCTGTATGCCAAAATGAAAAATGTTTTATTCTAAAATTTCGTAACATCAATTTAGCGCCCCGGGATGAATGTTGCGCCCAGGGACAAATGTCCCCTCTTGCTCCACCCTAGCTACGCCACTGATGATTATGAGCTCTTAAATCTTCTAAAATTGTACCTGACTTTATGGTAGGGGAAATATGAAGTGAGTAAGAGCGATCCTTGCTCAATAATTTTTTGTCAACTTGTAGAGACATTAGGTTATTTCGGAGCAGGAGTAGTGAAAAATGAGCTATGAGGACTCGAACCCCGAACCTCTCGAATACGCGTCGAGTGTGCTGACCACTACACCACGAAGGCATGCTAAGAAGGCGGGATAAATACCTCGCAAACTTAAGGAATGAAAAATCAACCTACTCAAAGCGAACCAGTAGAAGATTTTCACTGCCAGCGGAGACTTTTCTCGACCAGTCCGTTGAAGGATTTGGGAATTGTGGTAACGTCATCCAAGAGAATAAAATAGCTGACGGAACTGCAGTTTATTGATGTTATAAAGTTCTTAACTACTTGGTCTATGCTGAATGTAGAGGAATTAACTTAACTGTGTAGCGACTTTTCGCTGAGTTCAAGTGTAACGGCAAAGTCCAGAGAAGGGTTAAAATAACCATTTATTAACTCACTTCTTTTTATTCATTTATACCAGATTTGGCCATTGCATGCCATATACCGAGTACGATGGTGTCTATGGTCGTGAAAAACAAATTCGTTATTAAATCGGCTAACTGTGCGAAGGAGGTGAAATCGATTAATAAACAGAGAGCAGAGACAATAGAGCATGTTGAAAAATTGCTTTTAATCTGGATAGCGGAAAAACGTATGTGCAGTATCATGTACATTGCTTTATTTATGTATGGTACATATTTCAGTCATTGCATTTATATTCTAGTATTAAAAAGTGTCATAATAACCCTTTTACAGGCGGTGGTAAATATCTTACCACTAAGCAATTTGTTTTCTAGCAGCGTACGAAAATTATTTACCCGCGCCCGATATCAGGAATTTTCCTCTGGAACAGAGCTTCACATTTTCTGTAATAGATGGCTGTAGAAGACACGTAAACCGCAACATTTCTGCATTCATCCAGTTTTCAAGCAAAATGGAGAGGGTAAGCACGTACTCTTTTCTTATTTTATTGTGTAATGATATATAAAAATACGTTAAAAGCTATATATTCATATGTTTTGTATCTTAAAGGTTTGATAACTAAATTGTATTAGGCATTTAAAAAATTATAGCGAAATATTTTGTTTTATACATATTTGAATTTGGTGGTAAATTATTTACCACGGCACGTTTAGTGATTTTAGAGGTGGTAAATTATTTACCACTGCCTGATAGAAACACAATTTTACTAATATGTTTCGCTTTAGAAATAGCATTTTGTTTGGCATGGTACTTGATTTCTTTGTATATCTAATACTTTTATATTAGCATTTCAATAATTAATTATTTCTAATATTAATTATTATAAAATATTCGAAAATATTTTAGCGTTTATTTACGATTACATAAATATTTATGTATTTAAAAAGTAGAATTAAAATATTACTTTAGAATGCTATAAAGGTAATATTTTGATCAGTATGTTCAAGAGATATCAAAATATAAGTAACTAATTAAATGTAATGAATATTATTTTAGGTAAACGAATTGAAGAAAAAGAAAAAAAAATAATCACCGAGGAAGCTGTAGAGCATTATTTTGCACTGCCTTCAGATCCTGAAGATTCCGAAAAAGGACTCCCTCACGCAAGAACTGCAGGCTTTTTGGGAAATCATAATTATGAAGAGGATCAATAAATTACCTTAGATTTGTACTGGTCTTCTGACTATTTTTTTCAATAATCAAGAAATCTCGTCAATTATGCCAACAAAGAGATTAAAAAAATATCCTTTCAGATTTGTATATCAATGGCAAAAAGGCTGTCCCTTGAAATGAGCCAGAATTTGTCAAATTACAGTAAATGTGTTCTTTGATCACCCATTTAGATAAAAATTCAAGAAAAATGATCAGACTTCAATCTATTGATGAAAAAATGGTAAAATTCAAAAGAAGGTCCACAATGAAGCAATATATGCCAGGGAAGCCTGTAAAAAGAGTTTATAAGATTTGGGCTAGATCAAACGCATCAATTGCTTACCTATATCAGTCTGAAGTTTACACTAGGAAAAAGACTTGAATTTAGGTTGAGAGTAGCTCGCAGCCTAATTGGAGGCTTCTCTAGTAAAAAACGAAAACTGCAATCAAACTGGGTATCAGCAAAAAAGGAAAATGCTATTCCAAGGGGAAATCCGGAACAACCAATGTTAAAACACACATGCCAGTCAGAGGAGAAAGTTACAGAAGGTGCAAATATTGCATCACAAAAGTAAATCAGAAACGTACCAAGGTGTTATGTTCAACATGTCATGTATCATTCTGTGCTGTTTCATGTTATAAATAAAAATAAAAATTAAAATCAGTAGAAGTAGTGCATTTGGTATATTTTATATCTGTAATTTTATATTATGAATTTTATATTAATCATCGATTTTATATTATATGTATATTTAAATAATCAAGAATAAATAGTTTTCATCAAAAATACATGTTTATTTGTGATATTTTTGTAATTATGATTTTTTTCTTTTGCACAACTCAGTAAAATGCCATTGCTTATACCGGGCGGGGTCAAATATGTTACCACCCCTATTATAAACAACAACAACCACAACAGAATTCCAAAAATAGTATTTTTGGTCATAAACGAGCTACTTTTCCCTAATAGTTGCTTAAAATATGAATTTTGAAAATAAATGGCCTGGGCCCGATAAAGGGATAATAACTAATAAGATATGTTTATAAGAAAAAAATTAATTATTTTATTTAATTAATCTTCTTTTCTCAATTAATTTCTTAAATTTTCTTAAAGTTTTCAGCAATGTTTACATCCAGATTGGTATACGTCCAAAGATCTGGAACGGATGAATGATGCTCAGTGAGGTACCACAGTATTTAAGGGAAATCTCTTTGTCTTCCAATTTTAATGGGTTTTTTTTTTTTTTTTTTTTTAAATAGATTAGCTGAAGATGACTTCTGGCCTGAATAAATTTCTTTTGATCGTGGTGGTTTGCGCAGTTGTGAATTTAGCAAAGCCAGATGAAGAGACAACAACTACTGCTTCAACTAGCACTGCTGATTCTTCGGGTAAAACAATGGATATTTCAGAAAGAACCTCAGATTCTTCAACCAGTGCGAAAGTAAGCGATCCTACTACAACTACACAGACTAGTAGCACCCTGAAAGATGAGGTGAGTTTTTCTATTAAGGAAGTTTGAGTTTTAGTATTTATTGTAGTTTTTTTTTTTTTTTTTTTTTTTTTTTCTCCGTTTTGAATAATGCGTAGTTATGCATGAGTTTAGGAACAATATGATTATATCAGGTCTTCCAGCGTCATAAGTATAAAAGTAAATCAAAAATTATCCACAATCTTGTTTCTGTAATAAATAGAATAACATTAACAAGTGTATTATTTCCTAAATAGTTGTGTTGATTTTCCACGCTGTTCTTCTAGTGGTCCACAAGATTGTGTTTCAACTGCAATACGAGATATTTTGCTGGTCTATTAGCCATTTATGGATTACTTGTTTTTTCACTTGAGTATATGAAGCAGATCGATTGCCTCATAAAACGTCTTTGATGGTCCACATAATGATAACTGTTTCGTGGAAAACATGAACCTCGTTGGTGGTCATTCATTAGATAGATGGAATCGTTTCACCACCAGGTTTTTAAACTATTCTGCTCATAAACACTTTTGGCTTGTTCGGAGCTGTCTCCATGTTGTGCTGTAAGCCCGCGTTGAATATGTCACTCCTACGTAACAAAGAAATCGCATCACTGCTCTCTCTTTTCTTTTTTAATACGCACTTCCAGTGGTGCAAAAGGATCTGGAAAAAGACAATTCAAGTACGAGTACTCAAGCGATAGCCCAACAAATGGCTTTATCTCAATCCATTGTGTGGAGGATACTCGCAGCAAATTACATGAGGGCACATCATCTTCTTCGCGTCCCATTATTAGAGCCTGAGGATTATCCACTCCAGAAGACGTTTGCTACATAGTTCCTGCAAGAGTGCTACAAACAGCGCATTTGTTGGCTCCATATTGTTCACGGATGAAGCATAATTCACACCTGAGGGAGCCTTCAATCAGCATAATGCCCATGTGCAAGCTTTGGAGAACCATCATCGCACGCAACCACGAGCAACTCAACAGCGTTTTACGGGGTCAATGTTTGGGCCGGCATTCTTGAAGACTACCTCACTGGGCCGCACCTTCTGCCCATTCCTTTGGACCGTAGGGCATATCTGATCTTCTCGCAACAAGTCCTGTCCGAACTACAGCGGTGGATCGTTCGTGGTGGCCCGGTAAATTGGCTTCTGAGATCACCGGACCTATCATGCATGGACTTCTTCTGCTGGGGTCACATGAAGAGTTTGGTGTACAAGACGCCCATTCCTTCAGTTGAAGACCTCGTCGCTCCAATATCTGAAGCCAGCAAGATACGTGACATACCAGGAATCTTCCAGAACGTAAGGAATTTCATTCAGCGCCGCTGTCAGGACTGCCAGACGACTTCTGGTCGTAATTTTGAACACCTGTTATAGTACAACCTTTCAATAAAATGTTTTCAGTTCCATTAATGTGTTGCTGTTTCTGTTCTTTTTCTCTGTGTCTTTGCACCATAGCTCTCAACTACGGCATTTTCGACTCTGCATTCCTATGCGATTCCAAGTCGTCTGTGTACCCCCCTACACAACCCGCAAGTTTGAAGGTCTGGTAACGAATAACCCTGTATATATCAAATCTTAATACTAGCACTAAAATCTTACAAACGCTGCTGCGTTCAACCAAAACTACCTCTTCCATAATTGCAAAGCCGAAGCAACCCTAGAAGTTTTCTTATTTTTTCAAGTGGTAATCCGTCGACAACTTAATCTTTCAGTTTCTACTATTTCCAACTGTACAATGTATTATCATGCAAATTTTTCATGCTGCAACTCGTATCTCACAATACATGGGAAACAAATGTTATATCTACGAGTCAAATGCAGGATTTGCAGCTTCATCCGTGTAGGTAAGACACCATTATTAAAAAAAGTTTAAATTCAGGATTTTTGATGACTTCTATCCTAAAAAATTCCGTTGCCTGTGTACACTATATACATATGTTATCAGAAGCTTTAAAGTTTAGACATATTTTCTAATTTCTAGAGAAATGCATCACGAATTATTTTATAACTGCAACTGCGGCTATGGTGTAAAATAAAGTTTAACTCACATTTTTCAGCAATGTTTAAGTCACCAGAGCTTTAGGGCAGTAGTCTCAATTTGGTGACCGAAGCATCGCGGCCCCCGAAATAGTTTTAGTCGGCTCGGGAATATATTTTTCGTAAATTATTCAACATTATTATGACATTTTTTATTATGTCAAGAATTTGAAGGAATTGTCAGATTTTAATTATTCTAACTTCAGTTTCGCATTATTTCCATTAACATTTAAATGAATGTTAGCTATCCCCCAAAAAATCTGCAAATAGAGTTAATTAATTTTCATTATAATATAAGACTTATTTAAAGATTTCTAAAGAGATAGACCCTTATCGATTTAATAGGTTTTTCGATGCAGGAAATGTGAAAAATGTGCATTACCCTCTGAGGGATTCGAACTCCTAACTTCTCGATTATTCGTCGGACGTGCTTACGATCACATTACGAAGGCAAGCGGTAAAAGGAAGAAAATACCTTATACCCTTTTTTCGTACTCGTCAGAAGATAAATACCTTCAGCCTGCGAGTTTTTGCAATAACAGTAATCGTAATGTTTGTGAATACATTAATATTTGAACAGTTCTTTTTACCGCAGCTGAAACTCATTATGTCTAAATCCAGAGCGGGCAGGGTTTAACTTCCTTGGATCACTGGTAGAATTTAAACCGGCTGATAAGCACCGTCTCCAAGTGTGCCAGCTGCTCTGTCGGTGGAGTAAAGTTAAGTGATATCTAAATCCAGCCTGATCTATGAGCAACTATAATTAGTAATAAAGACTAGAAATAACTAGACTAATTCTAGAAATTTGTCTCCAAGCTATATTATGTGTTTTATGTAAATCTAAACGCCAAGAGATATTGTAGGTGAAAGCTACAGTAAGAATAAAAAAGCTTAAGATTTTTATATACAAATATTTGGCTTTTTTATTCATGCACCGAAGAAAAATTTAATGAATAAAAGAAAGACAATAGAATGCCATTATTTATTCTTAAGTGATGTCCCTCTATGAAACTTTTCATAATTTGTTTACTTTTAATTTAATTAAGTTATTTAGTTGTGAAGTCAGGAATATTCAACATTAGAATTATTTTAAATAAATGTCAATTTGAAAAGTTATTAGCTATTATTACGTTTAATTATAAAGTGTAACCAACAAGCATTTCTTGCACATACCCCAACCTTTACATTTGAGACAAAAAAATAATATAAATTGGAAATTTCCTTTGCGATATTATTATTACCATTTACGTACGTTTCGATAAACATTTAGCAAATAAGATTTTTAATTCAGTTACAAAAATTTGTTTTGTTAAAAAAAAGTTTCATTCTATTTCATCTATTAACTGCGATGTTTTCTCTTTGCCTATCTTTTCTTCCACAATGTTTTCTTTGCGTTGTTTTCTTCGCCGTCGTATTTAATAGAATTTTAAACCAAATATAAATAAACTTGCAGAAAATATGATAAAGTTCGACAGAAACACTGAAAGAAAATTTCGAAGTGAAAACAGCATATTCAATAAGGTATCAGCACCTAAAAATATAATTTTCAACTCCTCATGAACGAAACATATCATATGTTTTTTTTTTCATAATTTGGTAATAAGGCAACTTACATAAAATTTTTAAGCAAATATCGGGCACATTTGGAAAGATGTCGATGATAGAGTGAGTTCTATGGCCGCTGTTTTCTAGAACCAGCTGAATGAGAAGGGATTTTTCACAAACTATCAATTTATCGCACAATTCTTCTGTGCAAATGAACTTATCGAGTATTATGTAAATAAGCAAACACACGTGTATACGTACTATATATACGACAAAGAAAGGTGCTTGAGCATGAAACACATGTATGACATCAGAACAAATGTTATGACAATTTGCGGAAAGTCAAACTGAACAAAGAAATTACTCTGAAAAATCCTAAACTAAACTAAAGAAAATTATCTTTATCGCAATGAAAAAGAAATCTCTTAACTTCGGAATGGTTTTTGATTTTAAATGCACTCTTTCGGTCATTTTTAGGGATTTATCTGTTTAAAATCTGTACTTAGTTTTTGTTGTTTTTCTTTTCCAGGGTACAGAATATGATGAAGAAACAGCAGCCCTTGTCTTTATGGAAAAAATCATGGAATCATTTGTCAAAGATATATTTGGTTGATAAAAGCGAAAAATATTACAAAACCATTTTTAATAAAGCGTTTTAGTATTAGATTGGCATTTTGTGTGGAATAATATGAATAACACCAAGATGAGCTCTTCAGTTTTTGTGCTTCTGTGTATTGAGAAACTTTATATCTATAAATATTGAATATCACTCCCTCATACTGTATTTGCTTTGATTAGAATTCAGCTCTTAACAAATTTCAATTCTGTACACAAGAAATCCATCACTTAACGATTAATGATTTTGCAAAGTTTCTGAAAAATTACCAAAGATTTTTGTTTTATAATTTGAAAAATCTTTGTTATAAAGACGTTAGTTGCCTACATCATACCGAACGATACCTATAACTTTGCATTTCGAACGCCTTTTGCTTCTTCTTTCTCTACTTATTGACGTAGAGTCAAATTCACAAGTACTAGGCATTGATTGTAAAGGGATTTATTACGTTGTAACTTCTAAAATAAAATTTTTAAAAGTTCTTTGAATGATTCTTGACATCTTTAGTTAAACTCAGTTTTTAAAGGCGTTGTTCCTTAACCGAAGTAAATCGATATGGAGTTAAATATAATTAAATGCAAGAATGTAATTGAATCAGCTTAATGTGTAATGTGTATACGAGACAGCCTTAACTTAGAAAGCCCTCCACGGAGGAATTCCTTCCTTTAGCAAGGTAACCCTCGAGTGCTTTGCAGTAATCATATAAATCAAACCAACGAACTGTTCCTTAGTAGATTAATAATTTTAAGTAGGAGAAAATCCTAAATCTCAATTAAAACAGTGATATAGTGATATATTGTGTAGTCTCTATGTTCAAAATTTAGGACATCCAAGGAGTCCAAAGCAGTTCAAGAACAGTTTTCTTGAAGGAAAAAATTATATTCCATTCTTTAAAATGCAAGCTTTACATAGCATTACTTAGAATAGAAAATTTAAATATATTGAGAGAAAAAAAACTATATTATTTATTGAAAAATACTTAAAAACAATTTGTAAAGCAGCATTATTATTTAACATAAATTACTATATTTGCCAGGTGATCAATCTGAAAACATTGCATTTAGAGTCAAATTTATAGAAATTTTTAAAATGATGAAAATAAAGATCTTCCCATGTAGCAAATCTTTCTTAAATATGATTATGCTCATCTCTAACAGAATTTCACTCATTGATTTCGCAGAATTTACCAAAATGTTGATGAAATCTTGTAGAGCTCCTCACCACTCTTCTAAAAATTCACTTTTCAGGCTTTTGACGGGATGAATTTCATTGGTGGTAGACATCATACACATGTCTATTGGTGTTCAAATCTGGATAGTAAGCAAGGTATTTCATCAAAGTAATATATTATGTTTCCAAGAGTTCTTACGCCATAGATATTCCATGAAGACGAGCAATATTATCATTAGCAGAAACTCTGAACAACAGATTGTAAATGGTATCAAATATATTGACATTTTCAGGCTCTGCTGAAAAACAAAAGTTACATCTACACTGGTTTCAAAAAGTTAAGTAACAAACTGAAAACTGATGATAACTCAAAAAATATGCAAGCATACTGGACGAAACATACTGATGATATTTATTACACCACTTGTGACTTACAAACACACGAAAATGTTGCACAGAGTATTTGCATTTTGTGATATAAAATTTTCTTAAATTCATGAATACAAATTAAATACAAAATAATTTCTCAGTACTAAGTGTCATCACCCGAATAGCAATACAGGCCTCAGAGTGAGAAAGTTTTGCCTGGTGAATTAGGATTCTTCTAATATGCGGCTGATGTGAAAACGGCCTGCGTTTCTGTGTGCAGTCTGTGTGTCTGTGTGGTTCTGTGTGTCTTTAACAGTGTGGATTTTCATAAGTTCTCATTCCATACTGTTCCGCTCATTCAGCAGTAGCGAGTCGCTTTGCTGACAGATGATCTTCCTTCGAAGATTTCCCTTTCATGAGCGTTGAACTGATTCATCCTGCGGCGGCCTCTTGACGTGTAGATTTCGGCTTGATTGACTCTTTATTTTCCTGTTTCTGCAAGTTTGCTGCTGGTCTGTTTTTACGGCTACTTTCTTTTTGCTGACTTTCCAAATGTAATTGCTTAACACTCGGTTGATCGCCACATCTCAGAGATCTAAAACTAATGACTTACTTCCGATAAAAGTCTTCGAAAATGCCCGCTAAATTCTTTACTCATATTCTGATGTACAGGCATTCATTGAGACTCGCCTGCTTTCAGATTTCACCGCTAATTCAAATACTTGTTTTGGCATACCGGGTTTTTCCAACTAAAAGAAAACACTGGATCTGAAACAATAACCCAGGCAATATAATTTTAATAACTTCTGCATCAATATTTTTTCCACATAGAAAGTTTATTACTTGCAACTTTCTCAAAATAAACTCAGTCGATTTTTCTGCCTTAGTCTGAAGTCCTGACTTCGGTTTTGTTCTATCTTTCACCACGAGTAATACTTTCAAAAGGAAAGTTTCAAACTTATATTTCCTTTTTGGTTCACATAAAATTTACCGACACATTTATACCAGCTCTGGGCCTGTCCTCGAAGCGCAGCGGTTACTGTGGTGACATCACCTAACTCTGCAACAGGGTACAATAATAGATGAGTTTTTAATTGTTCCGAGAAAGTTATTACCACCAAGAAGGTCTTCCACTATCGAAAGTGGTGGCTGGTTTCATTGAGGCGCGTATGTTGTCTGTGCCTTCCATTAGACTACATATTTCTAGAGGAACTTGGAATCTGGGGGGAACCAGACTAAACCTCAGCTGGTCTTCCAACATTATTCGTAATCAAATCAAAGGCCACTTATAAGGTTTTTTTGAACTGATATAAGTCCTACAACATTACGAGATAATTAACGATTATCACTAAGTCTGTAGATAAAATGAAGGAGACTTGCGAAGGTTTACACAACGTTTTTATTAAAGTGAACTTTTAACATAACCAGCAAGTAAACCATTCCTTATAGAGATGTAAGTTAACACTCTGAAGGCCAATTCCTTCACTGACCTATTGCTTAAAATTCACAATCAGCTCAAATTCCGTTTCCGATTTACAAGTTCTGTCTCCTACCGTTCATGAAAGAACAAAGAGATGTGAACTTTTCAAATCATAAAGTTTCTAGTTTCTAACAAAGAGCGGTCGCTAGCCACTGAGTGTACACGAAGTCACCTTTAATCTAAAGATAAGAAAGCACAAAAAAAAAAAAAAAAAAAAAAAAAAAAAAAAAAAAAAAAAAAAAACTTTTAAGGACAAGACAATCTACAATAAAGATGAACGGATATAATACATTTGGAGAAACTGCACCTTAGTCTATTGTGTACTTTAGGTGAAAGCTAGCCTGTGATCTGAGCCGTTCGGATGGCCGTTGGCTGTTTGAATGAAAGGCCATCTTAAATGCTTTGATTGTGAAAGCCTTAATCAATTACAAATACTTAAATTTAAACGTTGATAAAAATAATCTAAAACAATATAACCAAAAAATAAGTAGTAAGCTGGCTAAACTAACTTTGCCAACCTCGTACGTTTAAGACAATAGGCTGTGAGAGAATGCTAAAACCGGGATAATAACATTTAGATAGAGCTGGAAAAATCTAACAGCCCTACACGAATGCCAGAAGCTTTCACTTCTCTGTCTAAGATTCAGCTTAAATACATTTAAAGCTAATTTGTGTTTTGGTGAGGTATACGGAAAATTAATTTAAAGTATAGATCAAAATTCTAATAACTAGTTAATTAACATAAGAACCTGTAGAGACATTAGGTATTTTTGGAAGTAGGCAAGATGAAAAATGAGCAACGCCCTCACCAGAAATCGAACCGCGGACCTATGGAATACGCGAACAGCATGTAAACCACCACACTACGAAGGTGTGCTAAGAAGGTGGGAGAAATAACTTATAAACTTTACACAATCAGTGATTCTATCGCATTACTTTCTTAAAATCCAAATGAATTCATGTCATTTACAAGCGGATGGTGATCAATCAGGAGTTGCGCTAAAGAACACCTTCAACATAGAAGTTTGTCCTTTAACTAAGAGGCACATTAAATGAAGAATTCAATTTTCTTCAACTCTTTGATGTGGAGATGTTGGCAAGCTGGCAAATGAGAAAGAAGAAGTGATATTGATCTATTACTTACAGCATAAGTAACAGCATAAAGAAATCTTATCTGTGCTGTGTTTTGGTACCTTGATATGGTAAAACTTTAGGCATCTAATCGACATTCTAAACTAATTACTTCTATTACTTACAGCATAAGTAATAGATGTAACTACTTTAGAATGTCGATTAAATGTCTCATGTTTTACCATATCAAGGTACCAAAACACAGCACATATAAGATTTCTTTTTACAGGGAAACATGAAACAAAGTACATGAGTTCATTTAATTTCAAGATAACTCTTAAAATATTTACTCTTTATGGATGCGAGATCTCAGACCAGAAAATAGTAGATGGTTAGTATGATTCAGTATCTTATGCTTCTCATATGGAGGTATACACAGGTATACGACTTGCCCAACTTGAAGTACTGGAGCAAAGTAAACTGAGATTCTAGCTGAAAATTTTCAGTTAAAATGCTATATATCATTTGAAAATATAAGTAATTATAATTATATGGCTTGAAAATCACCTAAATTATGTACATTACATTTAAACTAGTTTTATAAGTTAAAAGAATATAGTTTACATTTAATGCTGAAGAAACAAACTGAAATAATTTCCTGAATATATATATATATATATATATATATATATATATATATTTAATTTCATTTTCTGAGAAACATTTCGTTTTCCTACCAATCTTAATTCAATGTGATTTCATTTTGATTTTTCTTCATCCATTCAAAAATACGGACACTCAACTTTTTAAATTGCAACACTGTGAGGGAGTCATCAGCAGTGAAAGAAATTTATTCTGCATATGGCCTTTAGTGGTTCAAAGAAATAGTTAAATTTAGAGAGAAACACAAGAACATTAAATAGATGAAATCTACATTTGGAGAACCCGTCTTGCACTTCA